TAAACTTGACGACCGGCCCTGAACCGAGTTGAAGGGAATAAGAAAGGAAGATGGTCTGTCAAACAAGCGATACCCACGTTGAACGTTGGCGACGTTCCCAGTACCCACCGACAAACATTTCGGGAGACAACAGCAAAGCTGCAAGGCCGAAAGACGTAAAACGATATCGAATTCGAGGAGATTGAGAGCGAGGAGGGAATCGAGGTGGGCAGTGGAGCCAGCGTCAAAGACGACTGGCCCTAGAGCTTGAAAACGGACAGAGAGAGGAGAGCGCTGTGTGCAAGCTCATAAACCCACACCTCGCCTTTCCATGTCTTGAGGCAGTTCGTCTTTGGGATACCACAAGCTCATCTGGAGTCATGAAGCAGCGGTCGCTTTCTGAACGCATTGGACCGGGCCGCTGCATTGTCGCGCGGCTCAAACTTGTCGCGCGTGATGACAAGGACGATGCAAGGCGGAGGGCGTTGTGCAAAAGCTCGAGCAGCCGCAGCGGGCTGCCATGTACATGCGCCCGTGACAGCTTGTCAAGCCAGGCCACGAGCCTTCGTCAGATCAGATGGCATCGGGCGCAAAATTGTCCGAGCTCAATTCGGGACGAAGCATTCAATTTTGTCGAACTACTCGGAAGAAACGAACCCGTTGCCTAGAGAGCAAACCAGCCGCATCCTGGCGGGCGTCTTGCGTGCACTTGACACAGAGCCGGGCCCAACAGTGGGATACCCGGTTTGATCCCTGCGGGCTGAGGCGCGGGCTGAACGCTGAGGAGAAAACTAACTGACATCTACGATTCTCCAATGTATCATACCTAACGTCGATACAGTGCTCCGATTTTCATAGCAGCGACCAAGTAAGGAAGTCAAATTTCATGCGGACATGGGTGCTCGAGATCAGACGCCAGACATTCGAAACATTTTCTCAGAACGGGAGGTAAGGCTCCCTATGTCGTTCCGGCATTACCTCATAGCCCGTGCAGAGAGCGAGTGACAGAATTCAATCTGATAGAATCCCAGGGGTCAAACGAACCGTTCAACAGGCGGCAATGGGATGTGAAAGATCCGACACCAACATCCAAAAACGCTGAGTATGATGTCAACTTCAAGGTGCGTCCAGGTTCGATTGTCTATACGCAACGCCCTGAAATGAGTTTCTGGCGATTCTCGCACGGACGGTCTTCAACACATCATGCAGCTTCCCAACGCCGTCATTCCCCGATGTTCGCTCGACCTTCACCCATGCAGGAGCACAGATGTCATCTACTGAAGTAAGATGTGGCGAGACGCTCCCATACCTAGCATTGCTTGGCTACTGCGTGCTACCATTTTGCATCGCGGACCGTCAACAGCAAGATCGTGGCAGACAGTCGCTTCCCCCAACCACAGGCCTCCTCTACTGCTCTATGTCCTATCAACATCTATCAACAAGACGCCGCTCCAGCAGTTGAGGGTGGAATGAGATGGGATGAGATTATGGAGAGCAACGCCGCAGCAGGCTTGGTATGCTGTAGCTACACATGCCTTCCCAAGTTGAATTGTCGATGCAGGACCCGCCACGAACCACGATATTTACTAACCTACGGAGAGTAGAAGAGGTACATGGAACTGAAGGTTTCCTTTACTAAAGACACCCCGGGTGCGCTTATTCGGATGGGGAGATGGGACACCCGAACCCAACATGGGTCTGAGCTGAGCGAACCCGTCTGGAACGAAAAAAAAGGAAAAGGGACAGAGTACCAGAAAGCGCAGTACGGCCAGTCCAGCAGAACCGACACCACACATACGGCGCATTATTTACCTGACGGTGGACAAGAGTGCGGGCAGACCATGAGTTCACTCTAGGCCTGGAAGAAGGCTACGCCCGAGGACAATAGCTCAATATGGGTCCAGTAATAATACGGGCCAAAGTGTGAATAAGCTGAGGACCAGGACAGGGTTGTGCTGACCCCAGCTGGTAGGATCCCAGCACACCAAATCCGAGATGGAGGTACAGAACTCTCTCTCATTGCGTACGTGCTTCGAGCGCACTCGACCTTGTCCTGTCGGTCACTCACTGCTTTGCCTTACATACAGGCACCCGTCCATAGATGTACGTACTTCGTACAGGATGGCCGTCTACCCTCTCGATTATGCCCACGCCCGACTCTCTTTCTTCTGCTAATTGATTGACGTTGTCGCATGGGCTTGGATTCCGACATGCTAATGTTAAACTCCAAAGATCGTCCAAAGTCTTGCTTGGGGAAAAGAAAACGAAGGTCGGACGGAGCATCCCAACATCCTTCGACGACTGAACATGGTACCTCATTACGTCGATTCGCCGCAAAGAGCTGCCCAGCTATTCTTCTTCTGGCCCGGCACAGGTACCCAAACCCCAGAAGCAGAGCCAAGACTAGATACCAGCGGGCGGGCACTCGAGCACATGCGTCTTCGCTGCTGGTCTTGGAAAGGCCAATCTCAGGGAACAAGGGAGACAGGATCCAGTGGTTTGGTGCTGGTGCGTGGAAGAGGATTGGGGGGGGGGGGAGTCTCGCCTGCGCGGGAAGGCAAAGCAAGGTACTTCGTACAGACACACAACAGAGTAGGTAAGGTACCTTGCCTGAAGTCTCCCAACCGGATGGACAGGGTTCTGGCCCTCGACTTCTCCGGGGGTTTCTGTCTATTCTTTTTTCTCCCCTCTACTATGTACGCTTTCCTGTCTCTCGATCTCTGGCTGGCTCTCGTCTTAGTCGACTTACTACCAACCCGTCATCTACACCGATACCCTGATACTCTGTAAGGTAAAGTACTCTGACTACACCCCATCCTTCTCTCTTTTACCGGCACACGCCGCCTCTTGCTTCTTTCATCTTTTCTTTTCCGGCTGGCAGGTAAGCCCCCCTAGTTTCCTTCCTTAGCAATGGCCATTGAATGATGACAGACTCGGCTGGAACATGGCCTTTGCTCTGCAGAAACGACACTTCTCTCACTCCCACTCCCTCCTGCACTCCCTCGTCCATTTCCACTTTCACTGCCAATCTGGCGACCATTTACTCCCACATACATAGTACACATGCATCTACCTCCTAACTAACTCCTGTACGCCCACACCCGTGAGCCCCCCTTTGCCCGGGTCTCTATGGCATGGCCGCCAATCGCTCCTCACCCCCTCCCTCCCTCCTTGTCCTTACCCTCCTCGCGTCTGTGTGTTTCCCCAAGCAAGGAGCCTCGCGCGCTCCTGATACCTACGTCTGCTACTGGACGTGTGTGTGTGTGCGTAGGTATCTGGTCCACGCCATACAGCAGAGCCTTCACTCGTCCTCGTCCATCAAATAGTACTCCTGACCTTCATTCTCGAGAGACAGGCGCCGACTTCTGAGCAACCCACCCCCTTCTTCAAACCCACCGTCCCGGCAGCCTGCTTGTATTATTCCACCTTGGACCTGTAACGCCCAAACCCTGTTGGGCGGGCTGTCTAAAGCCAAGGGCCAATCAATAAGCCACCGTCGCCAGTCTTTCAAGGCGAGGTACAGACGGGCCCAGCAGCACGGAGTGAGGCAGTGGAGGTACTTGGAGTATCCGTACTGAGCTCTATTTCGTTTGCCCTGCCTTGACCTCGCTCGCCGCTGCCATCTTAGGGGTCGTTTAGGCCAGGCCCTCGACGAAATACAGGCGTGGACGGCACAGGACAGAGACAGGCTCATTGGAGAGACAGTGACGGAGAGGGAAAAAAGCATCGTCGGCTTGATCACATCTCTCATCCTCCCTCTCCCCGCTTCCCACTTCCTGGTCAGACATTCCAGCAACTCCCGCCCGTCTCCGCCGGTGGAACAGAAGAAATCAAGTCGAGAGAATCTACGAAGAGTGTGTTTCTCTCGTCTCGTAGGGCAGACGCTACCCAATTCACCGTCCCAGCCATTGTCAGACAACCACCCCCGGTATCTGGGAGCTGAGGCGCCAGGGTCCTCTCTCGTAACTTTGGGTGTTGAACTACTCACTCACAAGCCCCCCTTCAGCCCTCCCGAACTAGAGCCATGCTGGCCTGGGCCTAACAGATCCCGGATTAGTCCCCAAGTCCAAGTCCCGCACCATTGCGAAGCTACATATAGTCGACAGCCGCCTCCACACTGGGAGGAGGGACGGACTTGACTGGCGCCCTAAGGTGATCGACGCACGATAACTCCTTTCGACGTCTCGTCTCAAGGATACCTTAAAACTGCCCACAAAGCCTCTTTCGAATTCGTCCATTGGATCACCTACTTATCCTGCGGACAACCTTGTCTTCATCGACTACATTGCTCACCTCACCTCACCACCGACCTTCCTTCCTTTACCCCCGGTCCATCAAACCCAATACATCGTCACCCGCAAACCTTTTCCTCTACCCTTTCGGTTGTCTCGTGGCGCATTCTTTCCCCGTTAATCACAACATTCCTCTTCAATTCGTCGACAGCAATAGACTCGTGTGATCTTGCTTGGGTTCAAAAGAAACCTTGAGCATCGACGACCCAGCAAGAAACGGCAGGACCAGAAGAAATAGCAACTCTCGCTTTCGTTCCGTTCCATTCCTCAGCACCGCGTCCGAGTTCCAGTCTCTTCAGCCGTCGGCTCCAGTCCTGAGACCCCACCGGCTGTTCTTTCACTTGAAGGAAATCCGAAAATCGTTCACGGTTTCCTTCTCGGGCCATCTTACCTCGTGCTCCACCAACCTTTTCGGGAAGGCACAAGTCGCGGTCGCCTTTCGGCTCCGCACCTGCCCTGCCGTACGTTAGAGGAGAGAAAAGACCAAGAACGACCTGAGGGGAAAAAAGTCAACATCAAGAGGAGGCAACTACGAGAACCCCCATGGCCATGGACACAGGTTCTACGAGCTTCGCCGCTCGTAGACAAGCGACGCAGGCCCTGCCTCCTTTTCATCTTCCGTCAACAACTCAAGATATTCCCAGTATGAGTAGACCGTCTCATCAATTCCCCTTCAGTTATCAGTCCACGCCCGTTCAATCACAATCTTCTTCTTGGCAAGCTCCCACGATGATTCCACCATCGGTCCCAGCTTCTTCCTCCTCCGCAACCTCAAACACCCAACACTCTCCACACACCGCCAGCTCCGGTCTAACATCGCCTTCAGGAGTGACAGGTGAAGGGCTCAGCCCGCTTTCCTCCGGCGTAAACACCACCAGCTCCCAGAGCTCTCAGTACTACTCTGGCTCGTGGCCGACTCCCCAAGCCCACGGCTCTTATCAACTCAGCTCGGGGACGCCTCAAAGCATCGCTCAACAATCCCCCTACGCCTCGAGGTCAAGCACCTACGAACAGCAATCTCCGTTGGCTTACTCGAGAACCTCGCAGTCTCCAGCCACCGGCGGCGAAGGTCTCCCAGCACCCTCCTACAACAACAGCCACCAGCCTTTCCAGAATGCCTATTCTCAAGCAGGAGCAGGGTCTACTCCAGTTAGTCTGCCTTCCCAGGCGCCTCAAACGGCGCAACCCGGCATCCTCAACTCCCAGACTCCGGTCTCAACGCAGCCTGCGACCCCTGGCGGTGTTCCTTCGCATGTTGACTCGTATATGCAGTCCCGACCATCAGCTCCACAGTCCTACTACGCCGCGTCCTCTGCTCCTCAGCAGCCTGGATACCACAGCTACACGTCGCCAAACGCGCCTTCCCCGACGACTGCAGCTGGGCCGCCAAGGGGACTTGCTTCTCTTCATAACCCCTCCGGCATGGCTCCGCCTTACCAACGGTACACCTACAATGTCTCCCCGATGGGAGGACCCATCATGTCCAACCTCGGTGCACCAGGTCATCAGATGTCTCTGGTCCCGGGAATGGGTGTTCCTACATACGGGCATCACTTGGGGGCTTCCATGTACGGTGCCCATGGCGGCCAGCCGAACCCTCAAACCGAGCGTCCGTTCAAGTGCGACCAATGCCCGCAGTCTTTCAACAGAAACCACGATCTGAAGAGGCATAAGCGAATCCACTTGGCCGTCAAGCCTTTTCCCTGTAACTTCTGCGACAAGAGCTTTTCGCGAAAGGATGCTCTGAAGGTAAGCTTATTCTCTCCGCGGGCGATATCTGTCGCGTAAATTAAATGCTAACGGGGTGAATTACAGAGACACCGACTCGTCAAGGGCTGTGGAAACAAAGAGACAGATGCTTCCAACGAGACCAACCGCCGTTCCCCCCCGGATAACTCTGACGACGGAACCCCTCCAGTGAAGCGAGAGTGAAGAACTGATGCGCAGCACACCGGTGCTTTATCAAAACATCGGCCATATCTCGAGATCCAGATCGATTTTTCAAGCAACTGAAAAAAGTACCTGCCCCGTGAGGCGTTGACGCACCGAACTTTGGGTGGAGAAGAGGACAGCCCATCACGTTCAGGACCGCTGGGGTCATGGTTCTCAAGACAGTTGGAGAGACTCGTTTGAGCGTCTCAGAGACGAGTGTGAAATTGCTACGAGATCAGAACGAAACGCGAGCTTTGCTGGAACCTTTCCTAATTGTATTTGGGCCATTGCCAACACCACGGCAACTAATTGGAGCACGGTTATCCGGGTTATAGATGGGATGCTTGGGATTCTTTCGTCGGTTTACATGGACACGGAACTCTCGGCGGCGAACGGATTGCGACATGAGAAACCGAGCGATTACAAACTGGAAAACGGATTCACGGGACAACTACAAGGGACAACGGGGTATAATGACTGGGTTCGTCATGGTCACGGACAACGGCGCCTGGGATCTCGTGCAGGGCCCGGCAAAATTTTTACAGGACGGAGTTCGATCGTGGCGAGGTACGAGATGGGTTCGGAATGCGGTTCGGAATTGCTTTAGGAGATACCACATAGGGGATGGAGTTTCCAAAACTCTCTTGTACAAGTATCTTAGTGTTAGGAAATAGACCCGGTCTTACGGGTAAAATGGTGTCATTGGGAACAACAATCTTTTTTTGCCGCTCATCGAAGAGTGCGAGATGCGTCACCGGGGAACACCAGGTTTCTCAAAATTCGACAACGTGACCCCATGATGCCTGGATTGTGGATAGCATTTGCGGAAAGTCGCATCGTGATTCAACATTTGCCCCGGGATGACACATTGCCTCGGAAACCTTCGGGGTATTAAAGCTTAAAATGTGGAAGTTATGCGTAATTCAACCTCATCGCCATGGGCCTTGAGGACGCGGATGGCGGCGGGGGTTTAAAGTGTGGAAAACCGGGATGTCGTGATCGTCACCTCACGGTCTCCGAGGTACGGACAACGGGAGGATGATGACAGCTTAAGGTGTGGCAACACCGGGTGGCGTGTGGTGACTGTTCTCTTCCATTATACTTTGAATTTTGAGAATTCGATGAGCAACACACACACACACACCCATCCGTGTTGGAAGGAACTTCATCCTCGGGCCCGAAGAGACCTTGATACTTCTATTGATTGTGCAGGGCAGAAAGTTCCCTAGTGATTAGGACCTTTTAGGACTCTGCATGGTAGCATGATCACCACCAGGTGGGCCTGCGGTGCTGAGGTTGAAGCAGCGTAGGTATCGCGCGATCTGACCGGAACCGAACTCGTCGAGATTTTCACGAGCTACAGAATACCAGTCACCAGCATTATCCACTCAACCGCAGCTCTAGACAGAAAGGTTCACAGCAATAAAACGACCCCCACGAGAAGAAAAGGAGGTTAACTTCGCATGTCCCCCCCCCCTAAACTAGTAACCATCGTGACGCGCAGGAAAGATCGACTATATTGGATTGGAAAGTCTCCGGGTTGCGCTCCCACCCTCCCCTCCTTTCATCTGATCTAGACCCAGAAGGCTAGCAAAAGTCTGTTTAGTTGACATGTCGGACCGGACGGACGGTTCGCTCGGTGACAGGACGAACTGGAGCGCGAAGGAAGGATGAGGAGGAGTAAATCGGACGATGAGGGAAAAGCTTGCGTTTGCTTGCATTGGCTCTCCTGCGCTCCGCCCCTCCGTTTTCTGCCAACTTATTTCTCTGCAGGTTGCCTAGGGTGAGTTTTTAGATCGGATGATAGGGCCAGGGAACAAACCGACGAACCGACAAAGCGACATGGAGGATGACGGGGGGCCGTTCAGACTCTCTTGCCTTTGCCGTATCCGGCGCATGTCTCCCCTTTTTTTTAATAATGCTTCGTATGCTTCTCCCCCGCAAGAAGTAGGTCGTCCAGGTGTGCTTTTCGCGTCGATAAAAGTCTATATCGCGACCTTGTGAGGTGTATATTACTCACACCTTGGGGGTGCTTGGAGGCCTTGCACAGCCCGTGACTACAGCCGTTCCACGGCGGCGGATGAACACACGCCATCGTGGCTGCAACTAAGGTGTGGTGGTTTGGCGCGGAGAGGGCTTGATGCAACTCAAGGTTGCAGAGGGCTTTTCTCTCGTGCTGCTGCTGCCACAGGGAAACGCATACACGGGGTCGTGACGCCCCTTGCATCGGTTACATGCGGCTGCGAGTCACCATGATTCAACGATTTTTACTGAATTTTCCTTTGCATCCTGCGCCGATAGACTGGAGTAAATAAATGCCGCAGAATGAGGCTCGTCCGAAAAGATGCGATTTGCTGGAGCTGAGAAAAGACCTGCGCGTTCCAGATACCTCAAACTGCCTTCGGGGGCCACCCTCCCGGCAGAAACAAAGCCAGAAGCTTGTGAGGAGGTGAGGTGAGGGGTGCGTGGGTGCGTGGCGGCGAAGGCGAGACGGTAGGCTGGAAGCTGAACCAGACCTGAGGTGAGCTGAGACATACTCACGCGGAGGAAGAGAAGAATGGCGGCGCCTTGGGGACCAGTCCACGAAGACGCAACATCCAAAGCGAGGACGGAGAGACGCCTCCCACCCAGCGGGCTTCTAGCCTGTCCCTCCCCTCTCCTCTCCTCTCCCCTCTCCTCCCCTTTTTCTCGGGATTGGTGGCATGTTGGCGGCATCACTAGTGATGGAGCTAGGGGAAGCCACGCCATCTGTGCACGAGGGGGCTCGAAGAGTCCGTCGCCCAAATGCAGCCAGATGGATAGGCGTTGTCGCCATTGATCTCTGACGGTCCCTCCCATCAAAAGCTAAAATGGCGTGGGGCTGTAGTGTTTGCCTTGCTACCCGGAGAGTTGGTGGGGGAGTGGCCAGGCGAGAACTCGACGAGGGCAACCGCGTCCGCTGCTTTTCGTCCTTTGTCATACGCAGACTGCTTCACAAGGTGGGAAGACACTGCAGGCCTGGAGGAGACATCCTCTTCCGTTCTGCTCAGCTGGTGTCCGAATCTGCGGTGTCGCATATGCGCGCGGTCTTGGCGAGGAGACACATGTCGTGAGCTCTTCCAGTAAGAGCAGGATTCACAGGAATGGCCGGCCGTTGGCCTCTCGGTCTTCCTTTTGGAAATGAAGCTCATCCACCAGCGCCGTGGCGGCCGGTATTTGCGAACGTTCCTCAAGCTCTTTCTCGTTTCTTCTTCACATTCTTCAACTCGGCGTGGCATAAGCCCTGAGTGCCACGTCGGTCGTTGGGAGTTAAGAAAAATGCGGGAGACGTAAAGCCAGGACGCCTATGGCTCAAAGGATACTGTACTAATGACAGGAGGAAGAAGGTGTGGACGGCATCCAGCTGTTGGCAGGGGGTTGGACAATGCAGGTGCCGCTGACATGCGAGGCGTGCCTCGAGGGTGCTATTCGTACCCATCAGCGTTCTTGGAGGGGGGCACCAAAGCACGTCGTCATGCTGCTCGGAGTGCCATATTGAGGCTAGCGGCCACTCAGTGCGGCAGCGGCTGAACGCCCGGATGCGGGATTGGGGGACTCCATGGAGATCTCACGCAATTACGCGCTGCCTTTGGTCCCCACCAATCTGACCTCCTTCAAATCCAGAGTCAGCAAACAGGATATGGCTGGCCTGATCAGCTGGGTTGACTCTCGAGCCGACGAATTGTCTTTGAATATTCGACGGGCGAATCTCTTCATGTCTCAGCAACGCAGGCCGCACGAATGTGAAGCCCGGCGCAAACGACTGTTGCTTACGGCGGGCACCACGGCGCCCGATGCTCATGATAGAGCCCAGGGCCACTGACGAATATCCTTATCGTGAGTTCTCGTTGTGTTCCATGAATAGAAAGAAACTCGTCGCGAACTCCATCTTTGGTTTCGATCTCAGGTATGAGGCGACGAGCAAGAAGACGTCAATTTCGGAAGTAGACGGTACTAACATCTGGTCAATAGAATGTTATCTCCGGGGCTGCGAGTCCAGACGAAAATTCAGGATGTGATGTTCCGTTTGTGATAGGGCAGTGCCGAGATGCATGGCCTTGACTATGCGTCCGTCCTTGTCACTGTTGCATGACTGCTTGGCTTCCAATCCAAGTCGGTATGCTCTTTTTTGGAGAAGTACTAGAGCCCCAGCACTTGGGACAATACCCATTCGTGGAAAAGATGGCGCTCGCAGGTATGTTGCCGTTTGTGTTACCTGAAAGCCAATGTTGATATTCTCATTCAGGTGCCTCTTCCCATTGGATGGTGCTTTTCGATGATTTCGAGTTCCCGACGCTATTTCTTTGCGACAAACAACGACCAAAGAGTTTACACAGCTTGATTTGAAGGTCTCCGTAGGATTATATTGCAATGTAGTCGGCAAGGTAATGGCATGTCGAGATATCTCCTTCAGAGCCATGGTATTCAGCACATGCAGCCGAGGGCCGCCATGAGCTTTGTCCGTGCCAGTCACGTGCCTTTTGCCCATATTCTCCCGACTTCTCGGCTTCGTACGGCGGGCTGGACGACAGAAGATGGCTACTTTCGTCGACCAGAACAAGGACGTCACCGCGTTCTGCCTGATGCTGGACGGCTGTCACCGGTGGCGAGGCTGGTTTCGCATCCAGAGCATCCCTAAGCAGGGTTGGGAGTGTGATAAATTGATTGGACAGTCAATAACGCCGGTCGCCGCGAATCGGGCTGGCGATATGAGATCAGCGACGATTGCAATCAGAACCAGGACATCCGTTGCAAGTCGTCGAAATAGACTCGGCAAGCTGCCTTGCCCGCCCCTTGATCCCAGCCCCACGGTTTAGGTTGGATGCAGATGGGGATGTGATGGCCTGTGTCCCCGTCTTTGGCCAACCAAGACTTCATCCACCCGCTTCCTGTGGATAGCGCCGCGGGTTGATGCAGATCGTTCCCCATGCCTAAAAGGTGCGGACCAGCGCCGCCCCAATGGCCGGCGTGGGGACTGTCTTGTTCGGGGCTGTCGAGGGCTGAATGAGAGAGGGGATGGCCTCACCGGAAGGAAAATGCCAAATGGCAGGCCGCAAACTCTTTTTGAACATTCGCTGGTCTCCCTCAGCAAACATTGTTGGCTTTGAAGCGACACAAACCACAAAGACTGCCAACTTCGGCGAGGTGCTGCTCTGAGGCACCAAGTGAATTCAGGTGTCCAACGTTGCATTGGAGCCGGGTCAATCACCACCGGGCTCCCCTGTCGATTTGACAGTCGTGTGCTTTTCACACTCCATCCCGGCTAACGAACGATTCGATCGTTGAGAATGACCCGACCACTCGAAGTTTTAGTTCGCTTTCCCCCGGATCCGATAAAAATACTCCGGCGACGATCGGCGGGTAACTATAGCCCGAGTCTTCCGCCGGATCTTCCGCCGATCGGGTCCCACATAAGACCCGTTGACCGGCTGCAAGCACATGATGGTCTACTTTGCTGCCGGTTATCGGGGTTGGTTCTTAACTGTTCCGTCTTCTTTGGCGAAACCGAGTTACGCGTGCCATCGGGGGAATATTGAGGGGGACAGAGGATTGTTTTCCATGCTGTTGCGGCTAAAAGTTGAGTCCGACTCTCTTCTGGACACCGGCCTTTGAGAAGTACTGCATAGTATTCCCGGCGGCATTTTCGGCGAAGCACTTGGCGATTATATCGCAGTCCCGGCGCAAACTTTCCAGACATAGTTCTGGGGTATTTCGATCCGAAAATGCTCAGGAGCTTGCCGTCGTCGTCAGTCCAATGCTGGCGTATGGCGTGGGAGACTGTGATTCGCCAAGACCAGCATACGCCCCCAGCAAGGGACGAGTCGGAAGGAACTCTATGAGTGAGTTTGGACGGATATTGGCGTTTGATGTGGAAGCTGACGATTCCGACTTTAGTTGACACTGATCCTGCGTCAAGTAGCGTTTGTCGTTGGCCGTCCCACGCCAGCCTTCAATTTGTGTCAGTAGGAGGACACCAGTTGGTTTGCGCTTTTGAAGCCTGGGTATGGAAGACATGCTGCGGGTGATTCAATGATTCCGATGACGAGTATGGTTCGAAGATGGCTCAGGGAAGCCCGTAGAGTTAGCTAACAAAAAGGGGTTTGAGTGCTGTTGTTGTGGACAATATCTCGCGAGCCGCTTTCGAAGCTGGTCGTCTGAACGCTGTAGTTTATCGTGAAACTTGCATATTGGTTACCCCTTTAGGTAGGTAAGAGGACGAATGAAGCACAGAATTCGGCTGAAGATTTCTCAGCCTGAAATCTCGTCCAGTCCAACGTTGACGACGTGGACGGGAGATTCAGAAACGCGGCACCCAGCACGCGAGGAGTGGGGCGTGACGAAGCATCGGGGGCAATGATACGCAGGTTGGACGCCGGCTAATAGTTCTTGCCAGTGAGACCAGGAAGGGTCGACGTTCCACGGATGCGATTGGCGGATTTGTGCCAAAGCTTGGTGGTAAAAGCTTTCTGAGGTGAAGAAGAAAACGGCCGAGAATAGGTCGGTTTAGACATGATTTCGGACGAAATGCTCAGATTGACCTTAGCTTCGGGCTCGGTGACGACACATGAGACAGCGCAGCCGTCCCTTTCTGCTTCTTCGTCGCAGCCGCGAGAGCCTCTTGAGCTTGTTTCGAACAAGCGTAATGTTGCCATGAACAAGGTCCCTTTCTTTTGCCAAGGCCACGGTCCAGACGGCCGACGGACAGTTTCCAACGTGGTACGCGGTCCCTCGTTGGAAGGGGGCCTATTTGAGTTCTGTCAGGCCCGGGGTTGGCTTGGTTTGTCTGATTCGGTCACCCATGTTTGTGTCGCCAGTTGGTTCAGAAACACGGAGTTGTGGGCTATTTCTGGAAGGCGAGGCATTTGGTCCCTCACGACGATACCGGCTAGGAGATGGCGGTTGCGGTCGCGGTCGCCGCAGCGGCGAAGTCATGGCCAAGAAACCAGTCGGCAAAGACCTCGTGTACCGTTCGGCCCAGTAGTGGTATTGCTTATTTTCGTCTCGTAAATCGTCAGAGGTTCGTGTGAAATGATGAGATAGACTAGGGCCAAAAAAGCGGGAGGAAGAAGCAGAAAAAGCTGATGTCGACACGGCAAATGAGCAGGTTGTTTGAGGCCAGGAAAGACGGAGGTTAGAGTTGAGGGGTCACTCGATGTGAAAATTGTTAGGGAGAGCAGGTATCGGTACTTGCTGCTGCTCTCGGCGGGGCGAAGCTTAGTGGCCACAACAGCCAATTAAAGATGGGAAGGTCGGGACCGTCGCTTACTATCCGTCCTTGGCGTTGTCGCAAACCCCACCAATGCGCATGTTTCCCAAGGGTCTGTCCCTGGGTCGCAGTAACGACACTTCCAACCTGCCTTATCGACATCACAGCGTCAATCCTGCTGTTTTCTGCTAACGACATATTAGACCACGCTGTGGCCTGCCGTCAGTATCACCTGGGGTCATCCAGGTTCCATGGCTGACCGGCAGGAGTAGCAAAAAGTCGCATCTGCCCGTCTCCAACATCTTGGCACGAGCCAAGTCACTTGCCGTTAATGCAGAACATGCTCTTGTTTCGCTGCGGCATCGCGAGAACTAATTCGTAACGCTCTCCCTGTTCCAAGCGTCTGAAGATCCCTCGCAAACTTTCTCGCTGTCAATCTATATCACCGTCCTCGCCGCCCAACCACGTCAACTTTCCGTCCGAAAAATCACGCCGCTCTCTTTACACGTCAAATCACGAGAACTAACATATAACTCCTCGGCCGGGACTGGAGCCTGGTTGGAATATCCGTTTCGTCACTCTCTAATACCGACCGTCCGTTTGCCTCCCGACAGCGTCGACCGCTTCGCCCCTTCGAACCGAACCGCACCGCCGCGATGGACAGCTATTTGATGGCAAGGCACGGTGGTGATGACCACGGGGCGGCAGGAACAGCTACCCAGGCTGACACCATGCCCGGCATGGACATGAGCGGATCTGGCGGCATGGCAATGAACGACAGCCACGGTTCGAGCAGCATGAGCATGATGATGATGACCATCTTCCAAACCAACATCAAGACTCCGCTCTACACCGAGAACTGGACCCCGAACAGCGTTGGCACCTACGCTGCCACTTGCATCTTCCTCGTCTTCCTGGCCTTCGGTCTTCGCAGCATGGTCGCCCTCAAGTCTATCCAGGAGAAGCGATGGTTGGACAAGGATTTCAAGCGTCGCTACGTCAAAGTCAACGGAAAGCTCGGTATGGCTGGTCAAATGTCCCAGGACAGCATGGCCCACAAGATGGTTCTCTCGGAGAACGGAGTAGAGGAAAATGTCACAGTTGTGCAAGGACAGCACGGTATCTGGCGGCCATGGAGGTTTTCTGTCGATCCCATCCGCGCCCTCATCGACACGTCCATCGCCGGCGTTGGCTACCTCCTGTAAGTTTCCCACCCATCCACCCAAGCGAGTCGCTTTGCTAATACGCATCACAGCATGCTTGCGGTCATGACCATGAACGTCGGATATCTCCTCTCCGTTCTCGGTGGTGTTTTCTTGGGTAGTCTCGCCGTTGGCCGATTTGCGACCATGGGAGAGCATTAAGTTGTCCGAAGATTGCCTCACCACAGGGCAAAGTTTCCCCTGAATTCTTCACTCAAAGAACCAGGAAAGAATCTGTGGTGTTACGATTGCTTCTACGGAGGCAAAGAGACGATATGAACGACGGACCAATTCTGACCAGACTTCCTTCACCTTCACCAACCCCTTCTACTTGGGATTTTTTTTTCTGTGGACTCCTGTCGAGGGAATATCCAGACTTCTAGTGGCTGATGACAAGACACTCGTTGGAAGTGCTGCAAACAGCACGACTGTATATTTTTATGGCGGCCAAAGTCGCAAAGGCCGCAGCTGTAACAATAATAATGCTGTTGCGAGGTTTCGGCTCGAAGTGGCTGGTGATGTGTTTGTTAGTCGCTCCTTCCAACAAGTGATAAAGGGACAAGTAGAGGGTACGCCAGAAGCGGGGGGCTGACCCGTGGCCCGTGCAGAAACCTTCTCAAACCCCCTCAGCCCATTCCTCTTGTGCTCTCTCCAACCGAGACAACACCAAGGCCAACGACCTTTTCCTTGCCGGGTCATCCATCATCTCTTGTTACATTTCATCATCACCGACCCTAGCCAACATCCAAGCCGCCTGTTCTTATCAGCTCGTTGATTTCCGTTTGCCGAACGAGGCACCAGCCACGCAGGCAAGCCACCAGCCCGCTCGTGTCCCGTTAAGCTGCCGCTAACTCTTGCTTCTTGCAGACTATACATTCAGGTGGTTTCGTGGGAGAAACGATCCGAAGGTGAACGCCAGACGCTTGTCATGAATGAGTATCGGCACATATCCGTCTTTTCAAAAAAGCCCATCTGTGTCGTCTTACAATATTTTACGCCCATCCACATGCTAAAATTCTCGCGAGTACGGATACGTTGCGATGCTTGATAAACAAGCATTCCCCTTCCACAACTTCCGAGCCTCCGAGTCGTGGAGCCGCAGGTCAACGTCACCCAAACCAGGTGCGAGCCTTACGATGGCGGTGGGATGTCCTGATTGCCGCATTTACTAAGGGCCCGCCTTCCCAGAGAGCTTGTTTCTGCTCGTTTCATCTGAACAGTCAACCAGATGGCCTCTGAAAGTTTCACAGCCCCGATGCTGCTGCTGCCATTCAAGCCATCAACTTTGGCCAATCTACGAACGAGTTCGGAAAGTTCCACGTGGCATCGAGAAAAGCATAACGTCGCTGCTATCGAATATCCCCTCTCTGCGCCTGGACTATGAGTGGCTGACCACGACATTGGTGGTGGCCGCCGCCTGCGTCGGTGTCAGAAACCGAAAGGCAAGCTGTAGAAGCGGCAGACGGCCGACAACTTGTGGCGCCGGCGTCGATATACTCACCAGTTGCGTCGCTTCTCGCGCCGTGATTGCCGGCAAGTCGCAACGGTCTGAGTTAGCCGAACCCTGGAGTCAACGATCGGCCTTGCCAGCCGGCCGTCGAACTCGAGGCAATCCAGTCAGAACACCAGACGATGGGGTTGGCGACTAGACCGAAAACGCTCTTGAAGGCTTTCACTTCGACTGAAGTTCGTGACAGCTCCCCCAAACCCGACGGACTTGATCCCGTCAAAGTAGCCAACGGCGCACAACTCCGAGCACTGTGTGGTACATGGCTTTCATCAGCGGACCTCGGGCGTATGTGGGCCTCCATCAATCCGACTCCATCTGTGTCTGTGGTCTTTGGGACGACGCAGAGTTCGCAATTGTCCGGAAAGACAAGGACATAGGCGCGAGGCTGGATTGTTAGACAAACATCAGCGAAGAACACAGCCCAACCAGCCGGTGGCCAACGCCCGGACGCCGTCTTTTCAAACGTCGGAAGACCACCGCATGATACTTCGTGTCCGACGGGCTCCGGGGAGCATTAAAGCAACTCCCGCCCGTCGTTCCTACTGGTGCGATGTCAACTTGACAGGCGAAGAAGGCTTGGGATTGTTTTATTTCAACGGTCAAAACAGAAATTGAGCCCTCCATTGTCGGTTTGTTTCCGGCGCCTCGCGGTGAGTCTGGTGAGTAATCCGACGACCTCGGCAGCGGTACGGTGTCCGGTCAAGGAGATAAGTCCTTGGGACTCGGCAGGATACACTTTTCTTTAGGCCCGATGAGTCGCGGACACCAACTCAAAGTCAACCTCTTTCTTGGACATCCTTGTTCGCGGGGCCTTGAGAATGGCCGCTGCTCCTGCTGATATTATCAAGACGTCCAGTGTCGGTTTCTGCGAAGTTTGACTGGAAGACGTCAAAACCAACCGCATCAGTGGCCGCTCTACGGCGTCGACACGTGGCGGTCATCCAGGCTGGAGATCAGCTCCAAACAATCATACCTACTGAAAAGCCACGATGGGCAAGAAGTCGCCGATAACTCCATGACAACCGTCGCGCGATTCCATCGCGAGCAAGCCCACCAAGCCCAAAGAGGCAACGAGCTGTCCCTGCATCATGTCCCAATCCAGACAAGACCTTCCCCACCAACGAGCAGCGAATCCATACCTTCACCGAAATGGAAGCAGCCGGAAACACCATCCTCGATTGCTACCCCGCTACAGAATTGCAAAAGAAAAAGCCAGACGAAGTGCTTGGGAAGCGCATGTGACACATCATGATACTGCTCGCCCCAAGTTTTTCGTCAGCATTGAAGGGCACAATCTGGCATGTGTGTGATCGACAGAGACAACCGACAGTCAAATCCGAGACCGAACAGTTGGTGCTCTTCAGCTTCTGCCCTACGCGCCACCATTGACCCCTCTACGCCGTGCCGTGCGGACGTGCATCCAGCTACCCGGGCGCTATCAGGTCCACTAACCATCGCTGGATCTCAACCACTGACAGGGCGGACGCGGTAGCCATGGCCGGGGCGCAAGCGGGCCTCCCAACCGCCGAATCACAGCCCGCCAGACGGCCAAAAGCAGCATTCGAGTCCTCAGCTGCCCTTGCATCCCGTCCGTCACCAAAAATCATCCTGCGTCGACCAAGTTCAAAAGGTCGAGCGTGGGAAGAATTGTCTTGCCTGTTCAGGAAACATGTGGCTTACACGGCAGCCATCGACTTGATCGAATCTTTGGCTGCCCATCCTCCGGACCGTCCCATTCCCACACACACACTCGCGGGTACGAATGGAGGATTGCAAACGCCGCGAAATCATACCCGACCCGTAATCGCCGTACTCGCTTTCTCACAAGCGAAACCAAGGCAGGCATGTCAGTCAGTCAGTCAATCAGTCGTCATGTCCATGTTTGCGCGTTCGCATGTGCGTGCTGCTTTGTCCGTAGTCCGACAACCCCCCAATCGATTAATACGGAAATTCCAAGGAGAAAAAAAAGAGAGCCAGGGACGCTACAAGGTACTGCTGTCTTTTGACATTTTTCTGACAGACGGCAGCACGCGAACAAATCCAGCGAAAATTTAAGAAAAATCTTAATTTTCCCCTTAACACAAGCCTAGGAACTCACAACCCTCGAGGAACAAGAAGAAGCTCAAAGTGTCTCGCATGACCCCGTTAGAGTTCATGTCACTGTCATGTCACCAGTCATGTCATGGAAGGGCAACAGACAATTCAACATGACGGAACTCAACACCCACCACACACCACCACTCCCACCACCACGCGGTCTCGCTCGCCACACCGCGTCCGCAAACGGCCAGCCGGGCAAGCCCAAGCTGAAAGGGGAGCGGGCTGGCTGGCACTGTCGACATTTTACGTGATCATACATCAATGAGAGCTGTTGTCACGCATTTCCTACAGATAGATAGCAAGGTGGGAATCAAAATAACGTGAAAAAAAGATTAGCAGCTTGTGTCAGACCCTGACTTTCTAAGAGAGACGAGTAATAAAACGCATGGTAAAAGAATCAACGGGCAAATGCAAATGCTATCATACAAAGCCAACCGGGACCCCTACGTCCCCTCCCTATCGCGTCAAGCCTTTCTTCTTCCCGTCTTGATTCCCATCCCGTCTGTCTCCTAGACTCCAGAAAAAAGAGGTAGGGGGTATTGCTTTCGTAACAAGTGTGTGTGTGCGTGCGCGTCTGTATGAAAAATAGAGATGGGGGCGGGAAAGGGACAGGACAGGACATTGTTTTGTGAATGTATTGTTGTCTTGTTGATTTGCCCAGGGCCGGGGGTATCGAAGCCGAGTCCTACGAAAGGGCCTCGGGGAAGGTTTTTTTTGTTGGAAATAGAAGGAAAAGAAAAAAAGTCGCGCGCGCATCATCTTCGGCCCATCTGATCCTCGACAATATCATCAAAGTCCATTCCAAGAGAAATGTGCCTGCCCCAGCCGTGAGAAGTCATGCCCTCATGCTGAAAACCCCCGTTCTTTCCCGCGCCAAACCTCCCCCATACCCTTTTTTCGAAAGGTAGACAACGCAAACATTTCCTCCCGCGGCATAAACGAAAGAAGAAGAAAAGAAATTGGCCAACCTTGCCATGCAATCCCACTCACGCGCGCACTCCTGAGCTCCCGTCTAGAGCCGGCGCCAAAAATTGGCCCATGGCACAAGATGTTTTTTGTGTTCAATGAGGCCGCCCCTCCTCCGCAATGCCATCCCAACTGTCGTGTGTTTCCCCATTGAGTATCCTCCATGTTGCCGTGTTCTCGTTGCATCCCCCAAGGTGTTTCCACAAGATAGCATTAAGTCTCGCTCCGTGATAAAGAACGGCGCACAGAGTTTTCCAGTCCTCATGCCAGGCCAGTTGTTGCATCCGTCCATGACCAAGAACTGTCCAAGTGCTGCATGCCGGTAACGGAATCGAAAGAGAGGGAAATCAGAGTCAAGGGAAATAAAAGAAACGTAGTGGAACGAGATGCAGCAAGTGGTAACACCGAACTGTAACGCCAAACCGCCGGAGCCTCGGATTTGAGGAACGAATGCCGACCATGCCCCCCGTGCCGATGAGCGACTTCTCCAGCATGCAGTTATCAACGAGAGATGCACTGGTCGTGAACAACTTGGCTATCATGACTGGTGCGACGTGTGCTGGGGAAGACCAGACTGCGGCATGTAGCCACCTCCCCGTTGTTGTTGCTGGACGTAGCTCTGGTACGCGAGGGCCTGGGGGTCCATGGGGTTGACGGGCATGCCGTATTGGGGAGGCATGTGGTTCTGGGGCATACCTTGACGTTGAGGAGGGAGGTGTTGTTGGGGGGGCTCTTCGGGAGAGTCAACCTGGTTTGAGTCGTCGACGCCGTTCTCGCCGCCCTGGGAGGGTTCGGGGGCATTCAGACACGCCTACATCAACAGTTAGCCCATCAAAGTCCATCTACCAATGGGAGATATGGGTGGTAGCCATACCTGGATCAAGTTCTTGCCCTCAGCCTTAGTGACGAGAGGCTGGAGTTTCGGTGTCGTGAACGTGTACACCAAGCCAGTCTCTGAGACGACAAGGAGCAAGACCTGGGTACCGGTGAGGACGGAAAGCTCGTAAGCCTAGTAACGCGTCGTGTCAGCAATTGGCCCATTGGGTCTGGCGACGAGGGTGCAGCAAGCCGGGGCGCGCGATAATGGCGGCAGGTCAGGTCGGATGCACGGGGGAATGCGACGGGTGGTTACCTTCTTCATGATGCCAGCTTTGCGCTTGGAAAAAGTGATGTGGCGACGAGACTTGTCGTTGATGAACTTGATCTCAATCTTGCGACGCTCGCGGCCGCCCTTCTCGTCGTCGTCGTCATCGTCGTCGGCGGTGCTGGGACGCTGGCGCTTGACGCCTCTGTTCTCGGCGACGTTGCCGTTGCCAACCTGCGACTCGTCGAGGTCGGCGGGAGAGGTCTGTTCGTGTTGATCGGTGATGTCGGCCATTGTGGTCTTGGTGATAGTCGGATGGTATCACGAGGCAGGTAAAGGTAAAATAAACGGTGGAGATGCTGCTTTGAGCGTGGTGCCGATTGATCTATACTTGATCTGGAGGCAAGGGCAGCTGTTGTGTGTAGCTTGGATTCTGTCGCAGAAGAAACCAGGTCGGGACGGGACGTAACCTGTATCGAGTCTGGTGCGGAGCGGTTGCAGTGGCCTTGTGGTGGTGCCTTGCGGTTGGTGGAGGGTGGTGGCAGGTGGAAGGAAGAAGTAAGGCGAGGAACGAGAACCAGAACCAGGACCAGAACCGGGTAAGGTAGGAGGAGGCAGGCAGGTGCAGGTGCGGGTGCAAGTTAGGCGGGTAGTGGTGGCAGTAAGTGGGTGGTGCGCGTAGTGCGTTTTTTTGCTGTGCCGGCCAACGGAAGCGAGGAATTTGCTGGTTTAATTTTTTTATTTGCTTTGTTTGACTTTTGGGTCTTCCGTGCCTGACAGCTGCTGGTTGCTTGTCGGGAGAGCGGACGGACGAAATTTGTTTAGGTCGGCAGTAGTCAAAGTCGACTATCTTTTTCTGACAGGCGCGCCGTGTTTTTTTTTTTTTTTTTTTTTGCCTTGGAAGGATTTGTGGTGGTGGACAAGTGTGGTGTTCGCGGTTGGAGGTGGTGGTTGCTCGCGCAAGCGTGAGCGGGTAGACCGTGGGAGAGGCTTGGCCTGACGAAACGAACTGGCTGCGGTGCGGATTATGAGCCGAGCGGGTTCGGTTTGCGGTTTGCGTGGTGTACGAATAGTTTTAGGACCTGCGGTTCTGCGGGTGCTATGTTGGTGGAGGTGGTGGGTGACGGCGCAGAAAAAGGAAAAACGCGACTCGAGGAACCTGGGACTGGGGACTTCGGGGTCGGGATTGCCTGAGCTGGGAGAACAACAAGACTTTGAGGTTCGAGGTACTGATACTCGTCCGGTTGGTGATTGTCTTGTACGGAGCCGACGAACGGGTTTGAGTTACCCCAGAAAAAAAATAGGATAAGCAGGTAGGTCCGGTAAGGTGGACAAAGAGACAGATGTTGATCTGGTCGATGGGTTGGTTGGTTCTCTATAGGTATCTTGTCGATAGAGAGAGACTTTTGGTGGTGGTCAAGCGGTTTCCCCTGCTCTCATAGAATCAAGCAACAAAAACGTCAGTTGGGGAAAGAAGCTCGCTCGATTGAGGATAAGGCAAAGGGGAACTGCGGAGTGAATGAAAAGAGGATAGTGAGGTGGTAGCACGGGCTGCGGCCACGACCAGACAGTTTAAGGGAAAACGAAAGGCGGGGGGGGGTGGCGGCCTTTGCCTCTGGGCCACTACCTTACGGAGACCTGAGAGTCGCGACGGGGGGCCCTTGGGGGAACGACCAGGGTATCGAATGCTAGCTAGGTTGTAGCGTACAGTGCGTGATACAAGATACCTCTGGCCTTTCCTTTGAAAGGGACGGCGTGGGAGGGGGTGGTGAGGGAGGGGTGTTGGCGATGGATTGATGGATGGATGGGTGGGATGGGTGGATGAAGAGTGAGAGAGAGATAAATGGTGGTGGTAGTGGTGGGAGCGGATAGGATGTGTGTATCCGTAATTTTTGTCAAGTCCTCCCTCTTGTTCCTCCATCTGACAATCTGCTACAATTTTCTCCCTCCTTCTGATCTTATCTTATCTACATAGTTACTAATAAAGTACTGCACCTTATTCGGGCAGGAGCAATTAGAAAAGATGGAAGGGGCGGATGAGTATAAGGTATAATGCTAAGCAAGAGCGAAGAGACAGATGAGGCAGGAACGATCTGGTAAGACTGCACGTCAGGACGGGACGTGAGGAAGGAACACCACAGACGTGGGTAGGCAACGGCCGGGCAGGCAAGAACTCCAAGTCGACGAGGGAAGGACCAACTTGACCGGCGACCAGGTGCAAACCGCAAGTGCAAGTGAAAGTGCAAGGTGCAGGACCAGACGACGGGAACGAACGGGGTTGGGCGAGAAGGTGAGGTGGTGTCGAAAGAGGAGAGTGGGGTCCATCCCAATGTGAATGTGACTTCCATTCCCCAGCTCCTGCTCCTGCTCCTACTCACAATCACAATCACAATCACAAGCACTCTCGAGTCTCTTCCTTCCATCATCTCATAACTACATCAACGTTTTCTCACCCCTCTCATTTCTTGCCTCAACGTCGGGCATCTCAGGTTCCCGATATTCTCTCTGGATTTCCCCCTTTTTCTTCATAAGGTCCCCTTATCTTACACACCAAACCCAGGGACCCAGATTGACGGCATTTGCTTGGAGGCGCACGCAGACTAAGGCATCGCCAAAGTATTTCTTTCTCCTCCCAGGGGCCCCCAGCAGGAAGCTGAGGTACGAAAAATGAGGAGACGTATGTTAGCACGCACTCACCTGCAGCTAAGAAGGTTTCCCCCTCAAGTGCAAGCGCAAGCAACAGCACAAGCATTTGCCAAAGTACAGAACTGCGTATCAGTATCCGTATCTCCAAATATCTGACTTGCCAACCTTACCCGCACGTATCACCTACCGCACTACCATCCACCCAGCGGCACTGCACTACCTTACCACTACCACCCGCATCGCCAAGGCATCTCGTCTTCTTCACCTACCGCAACCCTCTTCTACAGTTTGCCAGTACATTGGTCCTCATCCATGTCCTCGGTTCATCATTCCTGCGTGCCGTCAAGTTGGATGGGCTTAAATCAAGCAATGCCATGTCATCTTCGTACTGGCGCAAGGTGTCTCCCGTCACCTTAACTCCGCCCACGCAGTAGTCCTAAACCCCTAGCGCAGCCCAAGTTGCTGTCCCCCGTCGCCGGTAGGCGCCAATCGATGGCCTGGCCTGCCAAATTGGCACAATTAGGTTGCGTCCCGCCCTGGCCGTGGGGCATATCGGTCAGGACGCGGCCGACCGAACCAGACCAGCGCGGCCCTGGGCTGGAGACTGGAGTCCTCACTGCTGAATGCTCTGTATTCGTACGAATACTGAGAATCGGACACGGGTTTCTGGGCGTCTCCCACGCTCACGGTCCATGCCTTGTCGTCGTCGTTGTTTTCGCACTCATGACTTGACTCTCTCTTGTCTCACCGACGCGCACAGGTAGGGCGACCATTCATACTACGTACACCTGCAGATACGGCTGCGAAGTATTGCATGTCTGTCTGTACGCTTGGATTCAGACCGTAACCGCATTTCCAGGGTCATCTATGTCACGTACGGCGATAGTAGACATTTTCCAGAAAAGGGGGCGCGCAAGAACGGTACGACCATCGCGATGGACAAGGGCTCGTTGGTTTGGCGTGTTGAATCTTTCTTTCCCCCTCCTCATGGCCCAGGGAGTCAAGCTCAACATGAGGACCGTGTGCAGGAAACGTACCTGACTTGTCCGGTTTGGGATCTGTTCCCTGTGTCTCGAAAGGCTGTTTTCCTCGAGTACCGAGCTAACGCAAGGCAGAGGGCAGACGTCGAGTCGACGTCTTGCCAGAAACTAGAACATTCACACCGGTGCTGTCAAAGCCTTCTTTCTGGCTTCTCTTGCTTGCGGTCTAATACTTGGTGCCTTTTTTTGCTTTTGGCTTTGGCTTTGGCCGCCACGCGATCGTCCAGACCCGCGCCCGCTTCCTGTCGTTGACTTTGTCTGGGAGCCGGTCCCTGTAGGCTGTCGATATGGATGAGCATGTCGGTCATGTCAGCAAGTACTCCACGACTCCAACCACCGGTTCTCTGTGTCTCGCACTCAGTCCGGCCCCTCAATTTTAGCTCCCCCATCCCAGGGCCAGTCTGTATGTCTCTACCAGTGGCATCCATGGGAAATAAGCGATCGCGGTATGGATACAGTGTAACACAGTACGCGGCATGACGACTCGCAAACAGTGGTCATAGCATTGCTCCTGGAAGGGGGAAGGGTTGTTGCGGCTTCAAGGGCATGAGATTCAGAGAGGAAATCGGAGGAGACCAACAACTGCGAGGGAAAAAATCTCCATCCAAAGAAAATGACCGAACCACTCTGGGGGACCCTCTTTTGGCCTCGACTTCGAGAGACACGAGAACCACGCACAATATTGACTGAACGCGCCAACGAATAATTAATGATTCCTGGGCTTTGTGGGGCCAGATGGCGCCTGGTTGATTGGGATCATGGGGGAATGAGTGATCGGGAAAGCGCCCAGTGCGACGAGTGTGCAAGGTACAAGATTGTCCCCCTGCTGCTTACCGCGACTAGCGGTATCGACGACCTCGGCTTGTCATGGTCTGCCATCGGTTTCTTCCAGTCATCCAATGGCCACTTCGGTTGGCTGTTTTCAGCTGAAGAGGATGCCTAGGTCGACAGATAGCCGTTTTCTTGTGCCAAATTATCACGCCTCCCCGGTAGGCTTGTTGGATCACGGTCTGCGCGTAAAGCTTCCGGGCGGCCCTGGGTGCAGTCGGCGAGCACCACCCACAAAGGAACGGCTTGGACGTCGGCTTGTTGGACTGCCCTGCATTGCAGCGCGCGTTGCTTTCTGGTACGTATCCTGCACAGCGTTCTGGAGACGGGAGTGTGTGGAACACTGCGACGCTGGTGTTTGGCCTGGAGCGTCTGGCATCTGCTTGGTAACTCGAGGGATCCAAGAGGGTGTAGGGGTGGTCCTAGGTGCCGCCAGGAAGCTGATTTCCTGGTTTGGAGAGCTCTTCTCATCTGCGCCCATACTCGGAGTAGCGCTCTAGAAACCTGCCTCAATCAGCTGTGGCATGTCATCCGCATGGGGCAATTTGCTCACGGTAGCGTGGCAGCCGGCGCAAGTAAAGCACTCAACGACACCCGCAAGCAAGTCAGCGCAAAACGCAAAGTGCAACTTGCATCGGCCGAGAAAAGTCATGTCCTGTCGCGCATCTTAGCCTGCTCGGGTCCGCACGACATGCTCCCCCAGCAATCATCAGATTTTGCTCCGTTGATGTGCAGAGACTATCGATGTTGACCTGCAACAGAAAATGACAGAACTGGGGC